GAAGGAACGAACATGGCGAATAGCAGTACGGCTTCTGTGGACATGGAAGATGTTCAGACCGTCGATCTCATGTCTGAGCTCCTTCGCCGCATGAAATGTGCCTCTAAGCCTGACAAACGTCTCATTTTCATTGGTAGTATTCACTTGCCACCACCCTCGATTCTTCTCTTTATCTTGCCTCTGCTGAGTCGAAAAGCACTTTGGTTAGAACTTAGGAAACAAGAATTGTTTAGTGAGGATTCGGTTCTCTATCTATCTATCAGTTGTCCGATTATGTCTATTCGGAGCAGTATGTGAAAATTGCATTGCCACAGCTATCGTTAACTAATGCTTATCTGATGGATCATATGAAAAGCTTGTTGATTTCTGTTGAACCTAAGGAAGATGCATTTATTGAGAGCATGTGACTTGAAATATTATTCCCATGGTTGCAAAATTGGTGGACAAAAAAGAACGTCCAACTACTTTGTTATTCAATAGTAGAAAGCAACAATTGAGACAACTAACTGGAGCTGGAGCTCATCTTTATGGTTGGATTGGCAGGTCCACCTGGTTCAGGAAAAGGTACGCAGTCGCCGGTAATAAAGGATGAGTTCTGCTTGTGCCATTTGTCTACCGGCGACATGCTTAGAGCTGCTGTTGCTGTTAAGTCCCCTCTTGGTGTAAAGGCTAAGGAGGCAATGGACAAGGTAACAAAAACAACCACACACTTCATTTGTTTCTCTTAAGCTTTCAGTCTTTGTTTTGAAACATGTCTTTTTTCCAGGGAGAGCTTGTTTCTGATGACTTGGTTGTCGGTATCATGGATGAAGCAATGAACAGACCGAAATGTCAGAAAGGTTTCATTCTTGATGGGTTCCCTAGGACCGTCACCCAAGCAGAGAAGGTATCTTATTCTTTTATGTGCTCAGTCTTACTGTATCTGTTCTTGTAAATATTCTGACTTGTTTTTTTTTATATAGCTTGATGAGATGCTTAATAGAAGGGGAGCTCAAATAGACAAGGTGCTTAATTTTGCAATCGATGATTCGGTTTTGGAAGAAAGAATAACTGGAAGGTGGATTCACCCGTCAAGTGGAAGGAGCTACCATACTAAATTCGCACCTCCTAAAGTTCCCGGAGTTGATGATGTAAGGAAACATCTCATTCTAATTCATCAAACCCCCAACACTTTGACTAGCACATCAGATTGATCTGTGTGTTGCTGTTAGGTCACTGGAGAGCCATTGATTCAACGTAAAGATGACAATGCGGATGTTCTTAGGTCAAGGCTGGATGCATTCCACAAGCAGACGCAACCGGTATGTTTCCTTAAAGTATATGAACTTGAGGAGTATTGGAAATATTTGATGGGCGGAATC